TTTCAATCAAGCGGCAGCAATTTTTTGACAATGAATTATCAAAAGCATAAGAAGGAGACGATGACTATGGTAGTGGAAACAAGAGAATAAATCAAGTACTGATATGAAAATTTATTTTTAGATTTAGACTCTGTGAAAAGATTAATTAAAAAAGAAAAGAAGGAAGAGAAAGGATTAAAGAAAAAGAATGGATTTTTGGTGTAGAGTTGAGATTTGAGAGAACAAAAAGAAGTGAAGAAAAAGGGAAACTCGAAGAAAAAAGGTTTTGAGATGCGAGGTGGGTAGGAGAAGATGAGTACGGGAAACAAGAAAAAGTAAGAAGTAAAAAAAAAAATAATGAGATTAAAATCGAATGCTCCAAAACAAATTAATTATTTAATCTAGTAGATGAAATAAAATCTTTATTAATTAAAAATGATTTTTTTAATATGTATAAAAAATATTTTTGATTATAAATATATATGAAAATAAAAAATTAATATTAATTTTAACATCAAGTAAATTTAATTAAATAATTAATAATTTTAAGAATAATGATTTGTGGGATGAAATTGGGAGACGATACAGGGACGACAAGTGAAGCTGGTCAGATACAAAATTATCAATTTAACTTGTTTCACTTGTCGTCATTCAATTTCACATTCCAATTTCATTCCACAAATCATTACTCTAATTTTAAAAGTTAATTTTTATTTTTTAATATAAATTTATTATAAAAAATATATTTAATATATTCTTAAATACATAATAAATTTTTTTTAAAATTAAATAAATTTAATGAAAGTAAAATGACGTCATATGAAATTCAAAATTCAAAGTAAGTAAAAAGTCAAAGATTACCTAGAAAAGCGAAAAAGTAAGCAGAAGGGTAGGAAGTTAAAAAAATTCAGAAGAAAATACAAAACAAAAGGCTAGGCTTGTCGGTTGTCTGGGTCTACTCATGCGGTTGTCGATTGTGTGCTCAGGAGCCGACAACCGCCTGCTTGGGCCTTTGGTTACAACCGCAACCGATGCTCAACTTAACCGATTACAAAAAAAGCCCGACCCATCGGTTGTGGTTGCGGGTAGGCACGGGCTTTTTTGCAGTTGCAGGCCTAAACACCCAGCCCCAACCACACACCAGCATCCCCATGTCAGGTTGTTGGCCTTTTAAGTAATTGCTGTTAATAGTAAAATAACAGTCTTGGTCCTTGACTTCTGCATTCTGCACAACTTAATCTTTAGCTTTTTTTATCTCTACAATTTACTCCTAAAAATTATAATGTCTTCCAATTAAGTCTTTTCCTACACAAAAAATTGAAAATTATGTATAATCAAGTAAAATCTCATAAAATTCATCCAAATATCAATGATATCAAAGCAAAAATTTCACATTAATATCTATGTAAATTCAACTCATTACTCACACTTCCATTAGAGATTTCAATGGAAAAAATATAAAATATGTTGATAGTAAATTGACAACCATTAGATAAAGTCAAAATCCATCTCAACATAAAAAAAAAAAAAAAAAACTCACCTTAAATTTCACTTGGATCATACTAGCTTGAAATTTCACCATGTTTTAAGCCTTTTTGGTTGAATTTCTCTCCTATGAAGAAGCTATGATGAGTCAATTGCAAAGCCAAAGTCGGATATAAAGGCATGG